CGGTTCCTCTATGATTTCATCATTGGGCCCTCCCCCCCCACCCCAATCCAATCTTTTATCCCAAATGCAACCAATGACAGGAGTCTGGAGTATGTGTGAAATCCTGCAGTTCTTGATAAGTTGCTCTGAAAGCAACCCAAAGAACAAATTCAATTTTGGTTTGTGAATTTATGGCACATATATCTTTCTGCCATTGTCCTATAACAAAGGGCATCTCCAAGTTGAAAGCCAACGGCATAAAAGGCAATGCCAACTAACAGAAACAACAATCTTCCAAGCTTATATGTCGGTAGATAACCTGCACATTTCAGTGGTCCCCCAGCCCCAAGAGGAATTTAATTTCACATATTGGCCAAATCTCAAAAACAAGTGAAAAAATATGCATTAACTTGCACCACAGTTTCAATTAGATCATCTTTGAACTCCCAAGAATCCAAGGAAAGGACCACAAGTACAGACACTTCCAATCCAACAGATCTGCAAGCAAAAAAAACAGAGGGAGAGCCATGAAAAGAACCGAACTCTAAAATATTATACTATTATAGTTTCAAAGGTAAGTACCAAACCTGGTTAGAAACTCTGCATTAGCCTGAAACACCACCCTGCATTCATGGAATGAGTAATACAATAATATCAATGCAACTTGAAATAAGCCAGCTAATAGAATCAATACGTGGTCTTTATTTCTTTCTGATCCAAAAACAACAGCCCTGAAGACAAAATATAGAGGCTGGACCCTACTTCTGAATCAAAGCCTGCAATCGTATGAATAAAATGGGATGAGAAGAACAGCTTGAAACAAAAATATCCATTCTTAATTAATTGTGTTTTGGATCCAAGACCTCATGAAACATTCAAAGGTATTAGCTCATTATAATCATGTTTTGTTTAAGTTATAATCGTAAGATTTTCGAGTTGATCATCGTGTTCAGGTTGACCCAAATGGATGAAATGAACGGAAAGTTTAACATCAACATTCACTTATTTACAAGTTCTTACTTATTCAATATTTGTACAATAAAAATTCACTTCATCCTAAATATAGTTATCAAATACTTAAAAAAGATTAATTTTATGATTATATAATTACTCTATAATGCATATTAGAAAATTGAAAAATGAATTATAAAATGGTTATTGCATTAGCGAATTATCGTATTCAAGTTTGACTGTCGTGTGCAGAATTGTCACCCCTAGAAACAACACGACACTAAAAAAACCAACAACGTAAAGTAATAAAAAATTTATCAACTTCTCAAGAAAAAAATAAAATCTGTATAAAAAAAATTTATGTGTCAAAATATTTACCTTTCACGTCACTATGTGGCACTTTCATAAGTTATGCAAATAAGCATTGCCTAGGTTCGAACAGAGATTCAAACCACAATATTAAATAACATTCAAACTGATATAAAAAGCCTGATATCAAACTACAATATTTTGTAATTCTCAATTCGTACATCACACACTAGAAAGAAACACAAAGAAACCCAACACTACAAAGACTTACAACTGACTAGATCCTCTCAGAGTAATTGACAACCCCTTGGGCACACAGAATGTTCAACACACAAACAGTCAAATTACAATACTTAAATAACACAGAGACACTACGCAGTAGAGAAAATGCTAATCATAACATTTCGACACAAAAAAGAAATAAACACCCATTAGATTCACGCACAAACTCCTTTTCAGGATATTGGAGTTGCGCCAGGGTTTGCCAAGTTACAGAACCGTATCCTTCATGTTCCACAAAAGAGAGATCACAGGATCATGCTTCCACCTTCATATGAAAAACATTGTGTTTTCCAGGTCAGCATGCAGTTTGTAAAACCTTTTCTCTAGAGAAGCCACTGATAGTGGTGACGATGCTGAGGATGACGATGAGGAGGAGGAGGATGCTGAAGCTGGAGACTGTCCCTCTGTACTCTCATGGTATAATCGCCCTCTATATGCCACAAGGTCAGCATAGTACACCGGTGGGACCAACGATACCGGTTTAGTACACCTTGCAAACGTGAAGCACAAGTCATATATGAGCTTCTGCAATTGGTCAGAAGTAAACCTGTGTTCATCCCAAAGAACACGGTAGCGTGTGGGTTTGCTTGTTCCAAGGGCTCCATAATGACTGCAGAGATAGAAGTCAAACTCAAATGGGTGCACGATTATTGTGTCCACAACAGTTCCCGGTAATACGTTGCCTGTGGAACTACCATCCCTCATACTCTCCGGAAAGAGACGAGTATGGTGCCGTTTCTGGGCAACAATTAGTGTGATGGTTGGATAGTATTTTATACCTCCCAAAGCCATCTTCAGATCTAGTAACTCTTCATTGAGAACCATATCAAACTGGCCCTCACTGACTCCGTCACGGAAGACAACAATTTTGTCCGGCTTGACTTTATTCAATAGCTCATATGTTTCAACAAGCTCCAGACACATGTCTCCAAAATTCAATATCTTCTCAGTGCGATGGTACTGGGGTCGGACTCGTGCAGCATAACAATTCGCGGCAGGCCAGTTTACAGTGGCAACAACAGCTGCAATTGATGGACTTGTCGTGTTCCGCGCAGCAGGATGATTCACATCAGCCCCCACAAACATATCATGGCCTGCACCCCCAAAGAGGGGAAGCCGATCACTTAGCTCAACATTACTGCCTCCAAGCTTGGCATTGATCTTAAGGGCAAGATTTGAAAGATACTGGTCATTTGCTTTGTTAGCCATATTTGACAAGCAGCACTGCGTCACTATACCAATTTGAGTCTCAGAGATCCACTTCAGATACATGTGACCAGGATCTCTTCGAGCCATTACACAAACAAGTAACTGTAAATGGCCTTTGCTTTTTTTGTATGCCTGTTCATTAATGCTTTCAAGCAGCTGACGAAGCATCTGAACACTAGTGAACATTACTGCCTCCAAGCTTGGCATTGATCTTAAGGGCAAGATTTGAAAGATACTGGTCATTTGCTTTGTTAGCCATATTTGACAAGCAGCACTGCGTCACTATACCAATTTGAGTCTCAGAGATCCACTTCAGATACATGTGACCAGGATCTCTTCGAGCCATTACACAAACAAGTAACTGTAAATGGCCTTTGCTTTTTTTGTATGCCTGTTCATTAATGCTTTCAAGCAGCTGACGAAGCATCTGAACACTAGTGAATGGTCTCATGGAAGTGGCTTCGTACAAAACAGGCTCTCCCATTCTGATTCCCAGTTTGTTGCACTTTGTGATGAGCTTTGGGATGAATTGATTAGGGTCCAGACAGAATCGATCATAACCGCTGAAGTCAAGTACAGCCCAGCGACCGATTGGTTTTCCTTCCACTAGAGACTTCCCAACCAGATTCCAATGGCATTTCTCTCGGTCAACTGTTACCGCAGTCATCTTGCCATCAGAAGAAGGACCCAACTTCAACATAGGTGGGACAATGACACGCCCTGTTACTGGTGTCATATTCATGTTGACTTCAATTCCAAAATTCTCAATGATGCCCCTCAACTAAGACACAGAACTCCAGCGGTGTATAGTTCTTCCTACCATTTTTCCCCAAATCCAAGCAGGGAATGTTTTTGTACTGGATCTCCTGGTATTTTTCCCTGAAATAATCAAGCAGCCTAACTTTATTAGGTGGACACTGGCCATCTATGTCTGCAGCATCAAATGTAATGTCTCCTGCATTCTCATCAGTCAGCCCCTTGATGATGTACTTTTGCTTGGTTCTAAGGTGAGTCACAGTAACTTTCAATCCCATCAGTACATCCACAACCTCTCTCCTAAACCTCTTGAGATTGTTTAAATCAAAGCCCCTGATCCGCTCTTGCAGAAAATCTATAACCGGCAGGCGCTTATAAAATGCCAAGACTGAGTAGTCAAGACACAAGGCAGGACCCTGGGAAGTCAGCCTTGTGCTTTGCTGAAACCCTCTAAATGCAGCAATACCATGTCCAAGGTCATCGCTTTGGTTTGATGTAGCGGGTTAAAAGCTTCGCCCAACAGAAACCAAGCACCTAGTTGGATTTTCTTTCATCACCAAATCCATACCCTGCAATATATCACGAGGGATAGACAACACGTGGCCACTATAGTACTCCAACTTGCAAAGCTTGAGCTCATTTACCAAATTTATGGTAAATATGTATGAACTGAACCGCGTGCCTTCTTCCTCAGAAACCTCCACCTTAAATGAGCCGGTGGGCAATGGCACTGCACTGAAAATGTTCTTTCCACCATCATATGCGGTACTTGACAAGGGAAAATCCGAAGGATGATCAGAGGATAACTTCTTCCTGATTGCAGAGAGTTCAGACTTGGACATTTTCACAGGACGGCCATTTTTAGCAGGCTTCTCTGGCTTGACATCAACATCGTAGTGCCTTATAATACTCTCATGATTGTACGAGAGATTAAAATGATTAGCACGAAGCCTAGTAGTTCGGATAGATTTTGTGCCTCCATTATCAGGCCGTCTCACAGGGAGTTTTTTGTCTGCTTCATCCAAAGAAGGCGAAGAAAGTGCCTGTTTCGAAATTTCCAGAGATTGCATTCTAGGAACAAGAGTATCTGTGAAGAAAAAAGAACAAAAAGGTGTTATTACCAAGCCTCATTATTTATGTAAATCCAAATG